CATTGTTTCATTACACACACACACACACACACACACACACACACACACACACACACACACACACACACACACACACACACACGAGCGCGCGCCCACCCACACACTCCCGTCTAGTCGCACCTGCTGAAACATGTCCTTAGCGGTGTCGAGGCAGACGTGCTGGTTCAGGCGAAGGAAGACGGGTGATGGCCCAAAGCGCACACGCACATCATCATCATCATGATGTTCGCTATTGCCATCATCATCCGTGCTGCCGTTGGGTGATGGTGCGGAGGACTGCGCGTGCAGGCGGTGGGCGTCGACAACGAGAGACACAAGCACAGACGGGTGGTCGCTGCACGCCTCCGTCAACAGGTCCGTAAACACATCTATTGGTAGACCAGCATCCTCGAAAAAGTACTGCACAGCGTGGACACACGGTGTGTCGGAGGCAGAGAAGTGAGGGGAAGGGCAGGGATGGGGAATGCAAGACACGCAAGTGCATCCACGAGAGAGAGAGAGAGAGAGAGAGAGAGAGAGAGAGAGAGAGAGAGAGAGAGAGAGAGAGAGAGAGAGAGAGAGAGAGAGAGAGAGAGAGAGAGACAGAGAGAGAGAGAGAGACAGAGACAGAGAGAGAGAGACAGAGAGAGAGAGAGAGAGAGAGAGAGAGAGAGAGACAGAGAGAGAGAGACAGAGAGAGAGACAGAGAGAGAGAGTGTGTGTGTGTGTGTGTGCGTGTGTGTGAGAGAGAGCAAAGACATCAAGGCATGTTTAGTTGTACTCACGCCAGCAACGGCCAAGATGCGCTTGAGTCCATCGGCCACTTCCTCCTCGAGGCCAGTCCGCTCCTTCTGCATGTGCACAAATCCGCGCACGGCCGAGCACACAAACGCTTCAAGTGCGCGCGCGCTTGTGTCGAACCGCCCTGCGAGGCGATCAAAGTAGTCCTGCTTGGCAGCAGTCAGCAGTCGCCCTGGTGAATTGTGTATGTATGCGGATGAACGCATGTGTGTGTGTGTTGTGTATGAGTGGCGAATGTGAGTGTGAGAGTGTGTGAGTGAGTGTGTGTGTGTGTGTGTGGTGAATCTGTGTGTGTGTGTGTGTGCGAATTTGATCATGCAATGCGTGTGAGAAGCAATCTCGAGCATCGGTGATCAGCGCGTGCATGGTGTGCAAGCGACGAGCAACAACGCCACCAAGAATACACATGCTTACAAAGGGCCTCTTCGTAGTCGCCCAGCAGCGTGAGGAGCGCAGCGGCGGCAAACGCGTCGCTGTAGTCGTCGCATGCGCGCAGCACCTCCGTTGGCGAGTACAGCCCAATCAGGTGCACGAGCGTTGTTGGCACGCACCACCCGCTGAACACCGGGGACACGGACGAAAAGTCCGGAACCGTCAGCCTGGTGCATGCGTGTATGTGCATACGTGTTCATGCGTCGTTGCGTGTGAGTTTGTTGTTTGCTCGTGATTGTGCATGCACACGTGTGTATCGCCACGATAAGCACAGTATTGGAGCACTGGTGCAAGGACAGCATTCCTAGCCTATCCCTTACACACTCGAGCAACGCAGTTAACAAACAAACGCACCCGAGTCCGCGCGTGAGAGAGTTGACGGGTGTGCGGCTCCCCAAAGCGTCAACAATGTCATCATCACCATCATCGTCGTCGTTGTAGTTGTAGTCTGCACTGTGCGAGCTCGTGTTGTGAATGCCATGACCTGGCAATGATCGAGACAAACATGCACACATCGTGTAAGTGATTCCGCAAGCATTTGCACAACCCCACACAAAGCACGCAAACA